TTTGTTACCCGACCCCAAGGTAACTGGTAAGGTGATCTGACCTTCCGCTTCTATGCTAGCTCCAGTGAAGCCTGACAATGGAGTTTGCAACGGTCTCAACATGGACCTGTCCAGCTTCAATTTCTTGAAAGCATCCAAGTATAGAACATTGACACTGCTTCCTGTGTCAACCAGGACCCTGGCCACGTCTGCTCCATTGATATCCATTGTAATAACCAAAGGGTCATTATGATCTCCCCCCGTCCTGGGAAGATCCCTATCAGTGAAAGTGATTGGTTCCCTCCTTGCCTGCTTCCCATGTGACTCCAGGGAAACCACCGCCACGTGCAAACTCCTGGCCCAGTTCTTCCGCTAGGAGGCAGTGTCCCCGCCTTCTGGGCCGCCGACAATCATCCGTATGAATTCTTTATCCGGATTGTTGTTATCCTTCCCGGATTTTCTCTTTCCCAGGTCTTTTCCCTGATGACGGGTCCAGTTGTTCGCTTTCGGGTCCTTCTTATTACCCGTCGCGTAACCTTCCCCAAGCTCCCCTTTCAAGGCCATCTCCTTGAGCACAGCCTTGACATTTCGGTAATCTGCCGTAATGTGGGAATCGGATTGGTGGTATGTGCACCACTTCTTTGTCCATTGTCTCTTGGGTTGCTCTCCTTTCTTATCATCCCTTATTTGGTGGATGGATCCGTCATATGTAGCCTTTAGTTTGGACCCTCCTGTCTGCTCATCTTTCTTCGGCTTGTCGGATTTCGACTTTGTGTAGCCTTCTTCCAGCTCCCGCTTATTCTTGTTCAACACTTCTGCCTCGGCATATTCCCATTCCGTATTGTAGGCTTCCTGATAAGAGGAGGGCAGCCTCCTACAGAATTCAGTGTATAGGTCACCTGACCGGAAGGCATTCATCAACAAAGACATGGCCGTCTTATCATCCATCTCTTCTACCTTGTCAACCTCGTCCCTCCAGCGGGTTAAGAATTGAGTCAAGGTCTCCTTCTCCCTCTGCCCTACCGTGTTAAGGTAGGTAAATTTCTTCCTCTTGATGCAGTTGTCGTGGTACTTCTTGCGGAAAACTTCAGCAAGTTTCTCAAAGGACCCAATCCTGCCATGGGGAAGACCGTTAAACCATTCCACTGGCCTCCCTCTCAAGGATGAGAAGAAGAGCAGGCATTCCTCAGCATTAGTGCACCCGGCCATCTGTGCTGCATTGTGGAAGGTGTCAAGGTGGACGTTTGGATCCTCCTTTCCAGTAAATTTTTCCACGTCCAGCTTGACCTTACGCCTCAATTTTTGTGCATGTACCCTGGCCGAAAAGGGTGATTTGCCCAGGGTGTGCTTCTTTGCTCCCGCCTTCTCGTCCACCTTTTCTTCCAGGGCACGTAGCTTTCTTGCTACGCTTCCTATCTTGTCCAGGTCATCCTCATCGTATGAGAGCCTGGTGTATGCCGACGCCCCCAGCTGGCTTTCTGCTTCCTCCTCGTCTTGGTGAATCGTCTCAGATTCCCTAGAACGACGAGATTGGGCGTGACGACCCCCACCAAGTCTTTCCATTGCGCTAGTCCGGCCCATCTCAGGACCAAGACGTAGCTTGGCAGATTTGCGGGGTCCATCCTCTTTTCCCCCTAGGCGTTTGAATGCCGAATCTCGAGTCTTGCTGGGTTCGGCTATAGCCTTACCCTTCTTCCTGCGGGCCGCCTCCTGCTCCGCCTCATTGATTTCATGGACATTTGAGGGCGCTGCTTCATTCAAAGTCCCCGTCAAATTCACCAGATGTATAGGGACCATCCTAGGGACAAATGTCGACGGAGTCGACACCAGAGGTGGCATAATTGGCGGCGTCATACCAGGATAGGCAAATGGCATGAAGCCACCTGCCTGTTGCATCATGGCCATCACCTGTTGATAGCCCTGTAGAGCCTGAGCATTTGCCGGGTCAGCAGCAAACTGAGCCCAAGCTGACGGGTATGGTGTGAATGCTCCACCAGGCGTTGTTATCGAGCCTGGGAACATTGTTGTCGTCGGCGTAGGAGTTGGGGTTGACATGATTGGGATCATGCCAATTGATCCTACAGTAGTGATCGGAGCAAAGGTCGTCCCCATGCTCGACATCATCAATGGGATGGCAGGAGTGCTTTCACTCGCAGCCTGGCTTGACACAGCGTTGTAGTTGCTCGAAGACATGTTTGTGGATATTTAGTGGGGGTAAAGTTTTGACCTGGTCGAAAAA